TAAAATGCTAAGAGACTGAGAAACAAGAGCTGATAGCATGAGGTATTCCCTGCCTTGGAAATTTCCATAGTGGTCGATTTATGGACTAATCCATCATGGAATAACACATGAATTCAGCATGATTTGCCATTAAAACAACCAACTGAGCATGAAACAGGCGACCCTTGCCCATCTTCCATTTCAGCTTAGTGGAAGGATTTTTCCATTGTAAAGCAAGGTGAAATAGCAGCAGTTCAATGTACTGTAACACACTGGAGATGCACCAGCCCCATGAGCCTGCTATTCACAAGATGACGCCTACTGTGAAAATATTCTTCTGCTCTCTTTAGGAAGGAGAAAGCAGAGAGATGGAAAGAGTTTATGTACGTATGTGTGTGAAAGAGAGAGGAGATAGAGGATTTACTGCTGAGATAAAAATGGAATCCATTTTGGTTCTTGAAGCACTCTCACCCACAGCGTGAGGACCTGCTCGGTGCGTTATCCTGGCATTGCTCTTTCAGTCACTTCCCCTCTTCCCTCCTCTGCTCTCTTTCAATTGTTCAGTCTTCCCCACACTACACTCTTTATATAATTTCCTCTTTTCCTCCTTAGTCACACCTCCTTCCTTTCCTTTCCTTTCCTCCTCTCTCCTCCCCTTCTTTCTCTCACTTTTCCTCTCTCTAGGCAGTAACGCACCCCAACACTGTCTCAGGTCCTGAAACTATGGCAACGGAATGAGAGAGCAAGCGCTCTCTATGATTAATAGATGAGAGATGCAGTGCCAATCGCTGGGGCCTGGGGAGGAGGGACAGATGCACTCGAACAACGCCACGCAAACACGCACACACAGACGCAGAGAGTACACACAATGAGAGCACACTCAAACCCCCCCTCGCCATTAGCCACCCTCTGTGCTTTGTGGTACTATACGCACGGAAAAGGGTCTGACTTAGGCACTACACAGAGACACAGACACATAAGCAAATTAAGAGGCAGTAAGCAGGGTTTTTTCTGATGCTTAACATCCACATGACACACAACCTTTCTTATTGGCTCCCAACAAGCAAACTAACCACAGAAATAACCACAACCACAGTAGCGGATGCAGCCCTAATGAGTCTTAAAAGACTGTGGATGTGTCCATGACTCACAGCTGGCTTCTCTTACCTGCAAAAGCACAACAGCAGGACGGGAACTAGGACATCATATTTTAACACTGTGTGCCGTGATTTACATCATCTGGTCTGTAGCGCAAGACTTGGTTGTTTTCAAGGCCACTCATTCATCCATCTCCCAGGCAATCACACAAAGCCCTGCTGTTTTTGGATTATCCCTGCAAATGTATTTCCTTTCCATTCCATCTGAGTAATGACAGGCAACCAAACCCAGCTGTGACAAAGGTATTACCACATGTTAATGTAGCATACACTAAGTGCTTAAAATAATAATATGAAGAGAAAGTGCACAATTTAAGCTGATTTGAAATGTTTCAGTGGATGGGTTTTCATCTAGCACGCACGGCAAAGTTTGGCTTCTCTCAGTCTTGTCCTAGATGAGCTGGCTATCACTTTCTAATTCACTTAATTTCCAACAACAAAGCATTGCCAAGGACCAACAGCCAAAACACCAACAGGCACTGCTTGCCTGGTCCTTCATGCCTCTGGCTTTTTTGGCATGCAGTTTACAACACGCTCAATCAATTATGCTAATGTAATGAGTATGAAGAGTGTTTAACACATGGATGGTTAATTCTGTGGATGCACTGTAGAGTCATTTTTTATGGAGCCACAAGGGTTAAGGCTAAGTGGGAGAAAGCAGCCAGTTAGAACAACACATTGAATCCATGCATGCGTGTGTGTGTGTGTGTGTGTGTGTGTGTGTGTGTGTGTGTGTGTGTGTGTGTGTGTGTGTGTGTGTGTGTGTGTGAATGTGTGAAAGACAGCGAGAACAAGAACAACGCGCAGAAGCTAGTGATTAGTGATTACATTCTCAATGAGCCATGCTGTGAATGGAGCATACAGGACTCTACAGCACTGATATATATCAAGTGCCTGTAGTACAGTGAATACCATTTATCATCTCATATAAACAATGAGCAACATGTTCCAGTAAAAGAAGGCTGTATGTTGTATAATGAGTAAATAAACTTTTTTTTCTTAAGGAAATCACAAATATAAGTTTAAAAAAAAGGGTGGATGCAAATCTCAGCATAGGTCTAATATCTTTTATATCTCTGTCAACATTTTTTTTTTCAGATAAAATGATGCAGTTATCAAATAATCACAGAACTCATTGCCAACAAAAAAAGTGAGACGGAGCAGCAGAAGGTTAAGTACAAAATAATGTTTATATAGAGCAGTTGTATAATTTGTTGTAGCAGGTTAGGATATCTTCCTGCTTGTTTTTCTTTTACCTTCTGAATCACAGCAGACTCCCACTGAATCTGAAAAGAGAGCCAGCCAAAAACAGACACTGTGCCATAACATCTGTGATGCAAAAGTTCAAACCCAAGCTTCTTTGATTGAGCTGACCCGCGTTTCTAAAACAAAATGTGTTAAAAGCACATCCACAAAGCCGGGATTACGCTCTTTCTCCGGCTTTGTTCTGTTACTAGAGGTTTGTTATTTAGTGTTACGGTAGTGCAACTGAGGCGGCGGCAATTTAGAAAGACGTGGAAGCTGAAAATGGGGTAAGCATCAATAAATCACATTCAGATGACTAAGATGCGTTTGATGCTTTCTTGTAGTCTAATTGTTTCTAAAAAAAAAAAAAAAAGCCCACACACCAAGGATGTGCATCAATAAAACATGGCTTTTATTAAATATGCATAAATACACACACTATTGAATGCAGACTATTGACACTGACTGAATGAGGACCAGCAGTTAACAGTGGCTGACTGTTGTGGCTGTTTATAATAGAGGGCCAATTCATTTGAACAGGAGCAAAGCTCTTTATCAATTATTCAGACCCACTGTATTAAAGCAACATCTGCATCTGTCCTTAACTGGCAAAGGTAAATACAAACTCTGTCTCGCTCTTTCTATTTCTGCTTCTCTCTTCCTCTCTCTGTCTCACACACTCACGCGCGCACACATACAGTGTGACAAATGCACATCAGTCACACACAATGCCATCCCCGTTGCTATTGTTAGGGGATCGGCGGATCAAACGCTCCACAGAGCATTGCTCCAAATACAAGCAGCAACTCTGGTCGCCCTGCTTTATTCTGGGGGTTTTTTTCAGGAGGACAACAGGCAGACTGTTGTCACTAAGGTAATCATGCTGTAATTCATGTGTCAGCACAACCAACATGTCAAAATATAAAGTGCTAATAGTAGGATTAGCACTCTTATTGGTGGTGCTGTATGCTGCGTGAGGCAATATGGTGGGACTTGCGGGCTGTGCAACATCTTAAGAAAAAAAAATGCCTCCAGGATTTTTCAATGCCTCCAGGCTAATGTTGTAGGAGGAGAAGAGGTAACATGTTAAAACATTTTTGCTCTTTCCCCATTTAAGATCTGTGTGTAATACCCAGCACAGTGTGTATGCTGACAGCAAAAAAACATAAGGTCACACGTGAAAAAACACAGAGGAGCCCCAAATATTTCCAGGCATTTCAGGGAAAACATGAACTACAACACCCTTTCCTCTCAGAGCTGGTGTAAAGTTTTTTTTTTCTTTTTCCACTTAGAAAAAAAAGGCTGATACACCATGTGGTGCATCTGGAAAACAGTTGACATGATGCATATTTTGCGGTCTGCATTCAAAAGTGCTTGGATTCACCCATTTCTATCAGCTCACTTGCACACTTTCTAATCTATAACCTACATTCAGAGTTTGAAAATTCCTTTTCCAGCTATTCCCAGTGCCTCTGGGGAAATCGAGGAGAGGAGAGGAGAAGGGAAGGGAAGAGAGGGGCAATCACAGAGTAACTGGGTGTTGGCACTTGTGTTGGATGTGGTTTGTGAGGCCTCTATCTCTCCTCCAGGCTTGATAAATAAATAGAAATAATGTGCAGAAGCACTTCTTCTACTGGCAAATCCACTTCTCAACCTGCGCCCCTGGTCAATATTAGAAACATTTGACTGATCTTTTGGAAAAGAGTAACAGTGACCACTCCATCACCTGGTGGCTGAACACACCCTAACCAGTGTGCCTGTCCCTCTGTGTGTATGAAACACACGCAGAAAGCGAGAGAGAGGAAGAAAGTCTCAGCCCGCAGAGTAGCTCACTTCGCAATAAAAACATGAATGTAAAATGATTAATTCACATCACATCCCTGTGATTCAATCAAGAGTTTTGTAGAAATACTGTGAAGTAGAAAGATTGTTAACAAAATTAGTCCACCCTATGAATATCTGCTTTACATGCAGATACATTTACTCCACGTAATGTGGAAATAAATTGCAAATGAAAATCCCGTCATGCACTGTAATAATGAAGCGAGGACTCGAGTATTATGCGTTTTCATAACATTAACATTAATATCTTAATAAGTGTGTTTAATGGCTGTAGTTTGAAAGTAAGCACTGTGAAGTCATAGGGGCGGGAGGACTACAGTCGGTCCACTCCAGCAAGTTCCTACAAACACGTTTCCCCTCCTTATTTTCATATTTTGAAATTATACACTGGTATTGTTTTTTCTCGTGTTTAGACGCACTAGCTTGATCCAAAATAGGTCCTCCGAGACTTACACTTCTTTCTACTATATGAACAAACAGCATATGAGGGATTACGCACGAAATTATGATCTGTTTAAATCACCAGATGGTATTTTTCTTGCGGAAAAGGATCGCAGTTCTCATATGAATCTAAAATGTACACATTCTGATTCACACATTTAATAAAAATGCTTTTGTAAATACGCGAAAACACACTAAGTTGATACGGTTACCGCGCGAAGCTGGTGCACTTGTCGCCCGGTAGCCTGGCTGCAAAGAAAACAAGCCTCCGGGGTTTGAGAAAGGCTGGTACGGGCTATGAGCGCATGAAGTTAGACGTAAACAAAGAAATCTCACCTTCAGCTCATGAATGGATATCCCTCGGAGTGGTTACACAGCTCTGCCTTTTAGTAATCCATGAGATGTGTCCCTCAAAGCAGTTCAGATGGTGCTCGCTTTAGGATAACAATACGAGCGCTACTTTTCTCATGCGCTTCTTTTTGTTACATGCCGCGCTCAAATCACACCACTCAAATCGGAATATCCATCGGAAATCCACACTAGTGACAAAAAAGGACGCTTTGCCTCGTAAACTTCCCTCAGGTAAACTGTACGAACACAAACAACCGGGTGTCCCAGAACTAGCTACGGAGCTGAACGCAGTCCCTTCCACAAAAGCCGACGGTCATCCTATTTGGAGATGAAGCTTCTTACCAGACTGAAGCGGAGCGCAGCAAGCCCAGCTGTCACCCACCCGCTACACACACACTCTCTCTCACACATGCATAGGGAGGAGCTACGTCTATGGAACGGGAGCTATTGTGTCAATGGGTGCCAGTTATGGACAACTGTATTTCTATTTTTACGCAGTGGAATGCGCGTTGGAGAAAGAGAAATCTTGGGGGCTATTAATAGTGTCGACACAGGAAAAAAACACAAAGAGGTTATTGGGAATGTCAATAAGATTAACTGGTATTCTGTATTCTGCTCTGCTCCGGGCCGAGGACGCAAACTGTCACTGGTAATTTTGATGACACAATAAAGATGCAGGTCCTCCTTGCCCCCCGCCGCTTTTGTCAATGCGAATCGGAATATGATCAGGTTCAAAGTCTGCTGCCAGTTGTCTCTGCGCTGATCTCAGGGCGCCTACCGCCTTCCCTCTTAGGTGGTCCCGGGCCGGGCACGCGCGCACGCACACTGCTGTAACTGGGATTTTACAAATGAGCCCTTACTTTCCTTGACCCTCATCTCATCAGAGAGGCCATCAGGTAAAAATCTGAAAACAACAGCGAAGTTCAAAAAGTTGTTGCTTAAATTTATGCTATATGAACTATCTGATGTTAGCGATGCGTGCTCCACTTAGCCTTTCCCCGACTCTCTTACACACAAACACACACAGACACACTAGTGTGTACACCCAGCATTAAACTAAGCCAAAATCAACATCAATTTGTTACATTTAAAACTGAAAGCCTGCCACAAAGCACAAACATAACTGCTTGCATGTGTGTGTGTGTGTGTGTGTGTGTGTGTGTGTGTGTGTGTGTGTGTGCTGGCATATACTGTGTTTTGTGTACCTGTGAGCATGTATGTCAGCATGTATGTCAACATCTAGATCATGTCTAAAAACTCATGAGAGGCAAAGCTAACT